CTCTCGTATCATTAGAAGAGTTTCTAAATGCACCATCAAATATTTCCAAATGCATTGTCAAGCATTTCCACATGCATCGTAAATTCAATCATAATTATGAAAAATTACAAACCTACCACCACGTTTTCTCCCATTTTATTGAATTTCAACCTTTGATCATGTTTTAGATGGACGAATCATATTTGTCTACACGTCCACACCAGGAAGTCTGTCCCCAGTCCCAAATCTCTCTGTGTGTATGTGTGTGTCTATATATATATATATATTATGGCATAGCTCTAGTGAGAACGGGCGCATATGAGAGAAATTTGAATCAATCATAGTCATCCCTCTAGAAAGATCTAACAGATCATATCTAATTTTTATTTTTAAAAAATGTGATGACATTTTTGCAAAAAAACTTGAAGTTTGAAGTGTAAGTAACACGCGTTAAAAGTGCAAGTGTGCAAGTAAAAGGTACAAGTAAAATCACTTAAAAGTGCATCAATTTACACTTAATAGTGCAAGTAATTTATCTTTCACATTGGTGCACTTAATGATAACCATTGGTGCAACTAATGATAACGTTTGGTGTACATTAGATTGTTGTACATTTAATACATTTTACTTGCACTATTGTTGCATTTTATGAAACTGTTATTTGCACTTTTATCACAATTTACTTGCATTTCAAAGTTTAAATTATTTACAAATTAAAAATGTTACCGCATTTTTTTTTTAAATTGTTTTCTGGTCTCTTCCATATGGATAGTTGTGATTAATTCCTAGTTCTGTCATATGTGCGCATTCTCATTTGATCTATTTCCTCTGTGTGTGTGTGTGTATGGGAGGGTTGAGGGAAAAATATACTCTCACGTAAAATGTGTAAACTTATCAAATATAATTCATCAATTTGATTTTCAAAAAAAAAAAAAAATTCATCAATTTGAATAGTTCAACGAGTGAGTTGCTTTTCTTCTTCCTAACTGAGAGTGTTTATTGTCCTTTTATTTAGCGTTTATTATAATATAATAGATTTTAAAAGAGGAAAAAAAAAAACTAAAAGTAGAATAAAAATAGCAGTAAAATATAAATATTGGAGTAGTGTATCTAGGGGAGGGAAATGAAATGAAATGAAATGCAGGCTAGGCTAACTAATAAATGGAGTAAACAAGTAACTAGGAGTAGGAATACTAGGTAAATTATACGGTGGACCACTCACATATGATAAATTTTCAATATACTCAAAATACATGACTTGTGTATTGAAAGTTCATTATTATTTGATAATATACTAAATTATAAACTTTCAGTACTTAAATAATGAATATTCAGTAATAAATAATGTATATTCAATATATTAAAAATATAAATTATATCAGTAATTTACTTTACAAGATGGATCTTACTCCATATTATAATGATTAGAGTATCTATCCGATCCGCATGGACAGCTCAGTTGGTCACATAGATGATGTATAAAAACAATGATTCGGATTGAATCTCACCAGTAATAGAGTGGGAGCAACATATCAAAATGAATAGGGTTCATTTTACATAATAAGCAAATGTGGCTCAGATCGAGACGTGGAGGTCATTGTGATTAAGAATTTAACCTTTTAGATACAATGATTGTAGCATCTACATAAAATTTCCATCTGAACACAAATGAATGGTGGGACCCACCAACCTGATGGGGAGAGTGGTGTGGGTCCACCCAAGTACCAATTTTATACAACCCCAAGACAAGGCAGTATCGCAGCATCACATGACTTTATTAGTTGGAAGATGAAGCCATGTTCTGCTATCCTCCTTACACTCCTTGGATTTATTTTATTTTATTTTATTTTATTTTTTAAAATTTTATATAATATTTGTCTTTTATTTTCTGAAAAGAAATCTCTTTATTGGATAATAATAATAATAATAACAAATAAATAGAATTATTTTAATTAAACAATATTTTTTTGGTATAAAGAAAAAGAAAATTAAAGAAAGTGGATGGCTGAATCTTCTTCTCCACATGCCTTCATGTTTCTGGTGCGTTCAGCTTAGGAAACTGATCTCCATGTGGCCCTTATATGCTTCACGTCACTCTTTTTCTTCTTTTTTTCTTTTTATTCCTCTTTTGAAAGTGATTTGTCAACCACTTGGCTTAATATTTATAATTTTAGAGTGCGTTTACTAACTTCATTTTTTAAAAAAATTAACTTTATTTTTTTATTTTATTTTTCATTTAAAAAAAAATAAGTGCAAATTCTTTTAGAACTATTTTTTCGTCTAATTTTTTTTTTCTAAAAGTTTCAAAATGAAAAACTATACAAAACGTTATCTATAATCAAGTAGTCATCATTGTGATTATTCTCAAATTTTAACTTCACTTAATTATCTATCAACAACTTTAACCATCCAATTATCCGGACTACCTCTAGTCCGTCCATCGACCGGGCACGCGAGAAATGCTAGAGATTTTATGTGAAAAACTGTTTTCCTTTCTAGTTTCTACCTTTAAAATCTATTATATATCATCATTTTTTTTTAAGAAATATGGCAAGCCTATTATTGTATTGGGCCCAAAGGTGCTAGTCTTTAAAAAACCCAAAACTACCCAATATTCATTTATCAACTATTAATGTATTAATTCAATATCGATAACTCTTTATTGATTTCTTTTAAAATTCTCAACATCATCAGGAACCATTAAGTGTGACCTTCTAGGTTAATAGTCAAACGAGCAACGAGTAATATTTAATAAACTCATTATTAAATAATTAGTAAGTCATGAGTTACACCAGTATCTCATGACTACCTAATTGACAATGAAATATATATATATATATATATATATATATATATATATATATATATATATATATATATATATATATATATATATATATATATATATATGAACATTTTCATTACAAATATCATGCAACATTCCTTCCACATAATACTTGTTCCGGACCAGGTAAAGATCATGGTCGAACTTATCAAATTCATAAATCTGATTTAAAATGCCTATTCAATATTCTTAACTTGAAGTCCAACTTCATTATATTCTGGCCAAAGATTCTCATTGTAAGATTATTGAATAGACTATAACAATCTTGTTACCTCAAGGCAGTAGATCTTGTATTGAGCACACACATGTCTCCTTACAATACTAAACTAGGCCATCAAGTACACTGAAATATGAGCGCTTTGTTTTGACTGACATAAGCATAAATGGATACTTTTTCCACCTTCATCAAGCACTTTGTCATTCATTTAAAAATTTAAGCACAATCATAATCTCTTCACTTTTTTTTTAATCATCTCATGATCATATCTCTCCCCATTTGAATATTGTTTATTATACCCTCCCCTGTTAACATCATAAAAAAAGAATTCCAAAAAATAAAACATAGATGACGTAGATGGACAAAAAAAAAAAATGGATATGATATGATACTAATGTCATAAAAATTGATATTAATTGAAAGAAGTATATTTAAGGCAAAAGATACCAATTGAAATATTTGTCCTCCCTTAAGCATGATGATCATAAGATTTAACAATAATTGAAAACTAACTATGCCATATGGAATTTCTTGCAACGAAGCACATAAGGATAGAACAAATTAGGCATCAAATGGGCTTTTGCATCCATATTCTTTGGAAGTGGTAGATTGAGAGTGTTAGTAGAATTTAGAAGAGGAAGTTACAAAGTTGCTCCCAAACAATCAATGTGAGAATCCTTATATGACCAATGCTATCTATGAGACTGTAGTTCTAAAAATGCAAGAGAAGTAAGGGATGAGCAGAAAAGAAACACTAACTACAAAATTATGGACATTTAGCGGCATTTAGTTAGCGGCGACATGACAGAACCCTCGGTTCTCGCTAAATAAGTGTATTTAATGACGGCTATATCAACCGCTGCTATTTTAAAGATGAAACTTAAATCATAAAATGTTATTAGCAACAGTTTTGATTGATTCCCTTTTTTGAAAAAAATAAAAATAAAAAGTTAAGTGTATCTCGAGATTATTCCTTTAAATTTTGATCTAAGAAAGATGTCAATGGTTACCACGGTTCACCATCAATGTAAGGATGAGAATGACATAGCTTGAATTCCTTGTACATAACCACCTTCATGTAATCCATTGGGGAATGTTGTCACTTTCTTGATCTATCCTTACCTTGATTGAGGACAAGCAAGTTCTAAAGTGTGTAAAAGTTTGATAGGTGTTTATTTGTTATACTTTGTAATGTATATTTTGGTCAATTTGGATATGAATTGCTTTAATATTGTCTGAATAGACCAATTATGTGATTCATTGTATATGAAGAAGTAAGGTTTTGGTTATGTATCAAGGTTTGAAAAAAAAAAAAAAAAAAGAGAGGATAAAATTTAGGGCAATTTGGACTCAAATTGGACAAAGTAGGATGGAAGCCAAATGAGGAGTACTATTGTCACAAAGGTTGTCACGCCTATGAGGCTTGGCGTGAAACACAATTTCAAAAAGTAGATTCTGCTACTACGAAGGGTATCATATATGTGAGAAATTTTGTGAGGCCAATTTCAGAACACGGACTTTGCTATCATGTTGGATGCCACACATGTGAATGCTTTCATGAGAAGAGACATCATAGAAGTAATCCAATTCATCACGAGGCCTGTCACGCTCGTGAGATGCTTTGTGATATGCCAAAGTCAAGAGTATATATAATGGAGAAAGTTAGACATTAATTTGAGTTGGTAAACTAAAAGCCTTAGCAACCATCTATATATTACTTTGCGTCGTCGTGATTTAATTTTAGTAGTTTAGTCTTTATATTTTTAAAGACATTTAAAATTTCATTATTTTAATAATTTTTTTCAAATTAATCCTCTCATGGGACGAGGCAAATTATTCTGTGGACCCGGAATTGCAAGCTAAGGTGGATCCGAGTCCAAAGATACACAATTTACATACTAAATGTTTACAATTTACCTTTTAAAATTTATAATTTATAATGAGTATTGTATTCACAAATTTCCAAAACTTATAAACACAATTTATATTTTAGAAGTTCACAATTCCAATACTAAAAATACAACATTTAAAACCAAGGTGCACCTTGCAAGGGGACCATCGTCCATGGTATAACAACTGATGGGACGCTACATGGACTCAACTCCTATATATTACTTTTACTTATATGACTGGTGCACTTGTCAACATATATCATATTTCTTTCTTATATGTTCAACCATATAAATTTGAAGCCAAGCGTGGTATGAGGAGGGCTTGTAGTGGAGTGGCTTTGATATTAGTCACTCCACTACTTTCAGTCATCTCAATTGGCTCATTTGACAACCTTCTTGTATCAAAGCTGTGAAATAGGCTAGCTAGTGTCAATTGCATAGTTTGTAACCCTAGAGAAACTCCTGGGCATATCCTCCGTCCACTACTAAATGGAATCAACTCGAAATTATTGCCCTTAACGTCAATATCTTTGTGACTAGTTAAAAATCTCTCAGGTTTAAACTTATCTGGCTCTACCCACACCTTTGGGTCACGATGGATCTTTGCAATGTTAAACAATATTTGTGTACCCTTCTGGATGTGGTAACCTTCGATAGTGCAATCTTCCATGGCTTCATGTGGTACCAAGAGTGGGGCTGGCGAATATAAACGCAATGTTTCTTTAATGACAGCTTGTAGGTAAATCAATTGACTTAGGTCAGATTCCTCAACGCATCTTTGCTTTCCAACATGGGTGTTTAGCTCATCTTGAATCCTCTCCAACACATTGTAATTATTTAATATTAAGCAGAGAGCCCATGTCAATGTTACAATACTTGTTTCTGCGGCTCCAATCAAGATGCTCTGCAAAATGTATTACCACTATTTAGGAAAGGCAAAAATTTGTGTGAGACCGTACTTCATACCATGAGGTGGGTCGGGCCAAGATGAAAATGTAATACTTATACTCACGAATGTAATCTGTACTAATTAGAAATAGAATGTTTATTACTTATTTAAAAGTATTACATTTTTCTCAAAAGATATTTTTCTTTATAAGTAACGAACACTTGCCAACATTACTTATTAGGCAAAATGTAATACTTTTTATGAAAAATATAATACTTTTATATCAAAATGTAAAGGTATTACATTTTTCCTTATAAGTAACAAACACTTTATTGTTGATTAGTGTTACATTTGACCATATAAGTATGACATTTGCACGTTGACCCAACTCGACCTGACCCGACTCACAAATAAGGATCCATGAGACGGTCTCACACAAGTGTGATTCAAGTATTACATCTCATTTTGATCCGACCCGTCTCACGGACAAAGATCCATGAGACGGTCTCACACAAGTTTTTACCTAACTAAAAATATCTAAACCATAAACCTATGAAGTTTAACCAAAATCTAGAAAGTAATTTATATTTCAAGTTTTAACTCAAATATTACAAATAATATAATGTTAACATTAAAAAATATAAAAGTAGAGTATATTGAGATAAATATATGGCCGGGCAAAAGAGAAACCGATGATGGTGGGTCGATTAAGAAAAAATTGGCAATAAATGTAGCTATAGGAGTGGTATGGGGGTGGTACGAATACATAGATAGATAGTAATGATAGATAGGGGTTGGTGGGGTAGATAGACATGTAAAATTAGTAGATAATGAAATTTGTGATTACATGCATATAAAAATTGAATTTAAATGTAGCACGTTAGCACTACTCTAAATTGTTCCGTTTTGTATTGTGAATTCTAATCTAAAATGACATTCAGATTATATATATATATATATATATATATATATATATATATATATATATATTTTGGTAGTATATGTTTAAACATACTTTCTTAACTTAATGAAGCCCAAAGAGTCAACAACGCCTTTATTGAGGCTCAATCTCATAACCTCCCACATGGGAGAGGTCACTACATGACATCTGAGCACAAGGTGTTTGGCTAACGTATTATGTATTTGTAGTTGACTGATTATGTGTTTGTAAAATAAATTGAAAGCACACAATAGGTTAACTACAACATATAATATATAAACTGCAAACACGCCATCTAAATGTCATTTTGGACCAAGATCACAATGCAAGGTGGACCCTAGTTAATGATATAATTTGCCAAATGAATAAATCTTATAGTGTAATAGCCCGCAAAAATATACAGGAAAGACAAATTGCAATAATAAGAACCTATGAGTTTTTTTCCAATCATATATGTTGGGTGGAAGTCGATAAGGGTCAAGTCCAGCACTATGTGGCTAGGGAATTGCTAGGAGGAGGCTAATAACATGTAGCTCTTGAAAATGTGTGGGGTATAAGGAAATGAACATTCACTACTAACTATAATTTTGGCTAGGAAAGGAGATAGGAGAGACCAGTATACACTATTAAGTAAAGCTAGCCAAAGTCCAGGCCCAGTCCGTAATTTATTATATTGTTTCTTTTGTTTTAAATATATAATTTTTTTTTTATAAATTGATATATATATATATATATATATATATATATATATATATATATATATATATATATATATATATATTTAGAAATGAGATTTGAAACCTTAACCTCCTAGTCTTAATCTTAGTTATCAATTTAAGTTTTTTCCAATTAAGCTACTACAACCTCTTAATACATTAATAATAATTAATGTATATATACACATTACACACAGTCACACACTTTTCTAAAATTAATAGTTTTGTTATTAATCTCAAAATTTAAAATTAACATGATTTTTTACTAAATTAAAATTTATAAATGACGTTAAATAAATTTTAACTTGTAGTCTTGTACTATTAAAACTTTATATAAGACTTATTGACTTAATATTATTTGATAACTTATAAATATTATAAAATGTAGTATAGTTTATAAAGTTCATTTGATTTTTACTCACAAAATTATGTTAGATGATAAATTAAAAATTTATAAAAGACTTTTAAATTGGGTTTGCTTTTAATTTATGGAGAATTGTTGTGAGTAGAAGTAAGAAAGTGTCGGATTAAGAATTTTTGTGTGATAAAAATAAATTGGATAAAGAGTATTTATAGGGTAAAATGGTAAATAAAAAGAAGAAAAACAAAAATATTTATTTGTTGCACTGGCTAAGAAGCGAGAACATGAGTAGCCTCTACCAAAGGCCAAGCCTAGTCTAGCCTCCGATAGAGGCTACATGCAACGGCCAAATATATTTGGCAGTTTCACGTTGCAGGGATGAGTAATAAATCTAGCTGCCACAATCAAAATTAGTAATTTTTTTTTAGAATTTTAGGCATTTAGCCATGGAACCAAAGCTGACATGCTTTAATGCCATGGCTATGTTTGCCCAGGCCTAGTCGGGCTCGTGCCTGGGCAGGTTAGGGGCTTGGGTCATGGGCCGATTCCGTGTTAGTCCTTGAATTTTTTTTAAAAGAACCTGAAAACTGGCCCTTAACAAGGCAATTCCGATTCAAGCTAAACTCAGCTCAGGCCCAATGAGAACCAGACCCACTTTTTTTCGGGCCGATTCAAGGTTGGTTCGACCTTGAACCGGACCGTGACCACCTCAACTACTAAGCCATACTAACAAAATCTATAACTAATATATAAAGAAAATTAAAAGTAAATAGTACGCGCTTTCAAAAAAAAAAGTAAATAGTACGTACCAGACAAGTAGATTTGATTACAACATCAGTATCATATCCATTGGGAAGACTTTGATTGGATGCACCATCAAATAAGGATAACATGATGCCCATGAAATCTTCTTCCTTAGCATTAAAACTATTCCTTTTTCTTCTGTGCTCCTCTATACACCTCTGTGCGAAGCTATCCATTTCCATGGCGGTCTGCTTCATAGCTTTCTCATGTCCCCCGATGTCCAACCATCTCAGCCACGGGAAAAAATCCGCAACCACGGGCTCCGCGAACAGCTCCATCATTCTCCGAATGCCCTCATGAACTTTGCTTTCTTCTTCTTCAACTTCTTGCTCGCCAAAAATCAACGATATTGTTAGGTTCATGATCAGCCTTCCGAACCACTGCTTCATCTCCACCGTCACGCCGCCGCCGCCGACGGCGGCGGCGGCGGCGTCCTTGTTCTTCAGCCAGTGGGCAAAAGTTTGTTTGATGGATTTTCTCACGTGGGATTCCCTTGTGGGTCTTAGCAGCTCGATTCTAGAACTCGACAGCAATTCCTGGAAAAGTATCTTTCTTATCTCGCGCAAATACGGGCCGTAAGGTGCGACGGCGAGAATGGTGTAGTTGAAGCCGATGATTTGAGAGGCTAGTGATTTGGGGCGAGTTGCTAGGACCTTGTCGTTTGTTGTGAAGCATTCCTTTGCTATTTCCGAGCTGCTCACGACCAGGGTTTGGTGCGTTGTTCCCAGTCTGATTCGGAAGATAGGGCCGAACTTGTCCGCCATGGATGCGAAGATCAAGTGCGCAGGCTTTCCGCCGCCCATGAGAAGGTGGAGATGGCCGATTAGTGGTCGGGAAGGGAACCCGGTAGCTCCAGTGGCTGCGGGCTTGCGTTATGTCCATGGCGTTTGTGTTTTGCAAGCGACAACTTGTATAGAAAGAAGAGAAGCACAAAGGTGCATGCTAAAGTAGAGGATGTGATATTATTGCACATGGAGAAAGGAAATCCATGGCTTGGTATTCACAAAATATTAGCATACCTCTTGTTTTATAAGCAAATTGGATAGACTTGGACTATTAAATGGACAAAGACCCGGACCACATTGTAATTTACATAAAATAAAAAATAAAAAAGCAAAATACTAGTTGAATTTTCACCAAAAAAAAAAAGTACTAGTTGAATTTCCAACTCATCTTTTTTTTTTTTTTTTTAATACAAAAGTCAAATAGGTCCTAAACTTTATAGGAGAAGTCAATTAAACACCTAAACTTTTAAAAGTTGCAATTAAATCTATCAACATGTTATTTTCATCGTGGGAAATTACTCCCCCGGTGTGTATCCAAACTCTTCTTATTTTGCCAGTTTAATATTTTTGTAAGTGTACAAATGATACGCATGTTTCTAGTATTAGATTGACAAATTATTTGTCAAAACATACTTTGTTTATTTAGACTGTTTTAGGATCAGTCTTACAGTCTTGACCTACGATAGAAGCTGTTATAGTTAAGCCTGGATCTACGTTAGAAGAAACTATCTCTGAGTCAGTGTGTACATCAGTTTGGGCGAAATTTTCTAACACATTTCAGTTAAGTGGACAGAGTTTTCCGGCCGTTTATAAATTGAATTGCAGTCCACATTATAAGGATTTTCAACTGCTAAAGTTTTGAGTTGATGGTTAGAGCTCTTACACTATAAAAAGGCATGAAAGGAAGCTTTGGAAATTGAACACTCATGCTCAAAATATGCTATATTAAGACCATCCACACTAGAAGTTAATGGAGAGTTATTTCTACATTAATTTTTTTCAGAGCAAAGCTAATATAAGAGTGAATTATTTGAGAAAGAGTTGGCCTTCAACAGCCCCAAATAATGTCAGAAATTTTTTATTTTTTATTTTTTTTTTAAAAAAAAAAAGAGAAAGGAAATTGATTTGAAATTGTATTACTAATTAAAGATAAATTGATTGCTACTTATGTGACAAATTGTAATACTTATGAAAAAATGTGATGTTTTTAAGGAAAAATGTAATATTTTTAAATCAAAATATAATATTTAGGTGTTCAAAAGTTACTTACCAGAAAAAAATGTAATACTAATGAGGGATAAATTGATTGAATGTTACTTATGAGGAAAAGTGCAATACTAAATATGGATAAATTGATTCTTCCTTAGGAGAGAAAGTGTAATACTTATGAGAAAATATGTGATACTTTCGAAAAAAAATGTAATACTTTTAAATCAAAATGTAAAGTATAAGAGTTGAAGAGTTATTTATAATTAAAAAATGTAATATTTATGGTAAAAAAAAAATATAATACTTATAAGAAACCCTACCAATTTGAAGGATGAAAATTTGTGAGATAGTCTCATATAAATTTTTGTTTTATATCTTATATATTATTTAACTAAATATGTACTTGTATATTCATATTTTTTAATTTAAATTATAATTGAGTATTAGCAAGGGCGGAGCTAGAAATTTTTTTCAACGTGGACAAATATTAAAACAAAATAGATGATTTTTAAAAAATAAATAAAACATATAGGAAGCATAGTTATAAATATTGTTGGATATGGACAAAAAAATAAAATACATCAAAACTTTATAAAAATAATCATAATAAAATATTAAACATAATTACTTTGATAAAATTATTCGAATATAAAACACGTTATAAATCACACATCTCATTATTAATATAAATATATTTAAAAAAATAATAATTGTTGAATATGGTGAAAAAAAATATCATTGTTGGATATGGGTGAAAAATAAAATAGTTAATAAGTAAACTCAAAACCTCTATCAAATTACATGCATGCCTTACCAACTGACCACCTCATCTTTTATTTACATTTATCTATATTTTATAGTTATACCTAAACATGTACTATATATATGAGGTGGCGTGGAGGGATGTGGGTGACTGTCCCCACTATATCTCCGCCCCAGAGTATTAGGTTGGTTTCTTGTGCTTTACCTTATGCATTATTTAAATAAATTTGTACTACTATATTATTTCTATTTTTTTTATTTAAATAAGAAAGCAATGTTAGTTTCCCTTATATATTTTTTTTATTTGAATAATAAGCTAGTATTAGGTTGGTTTCTTGTTCTACGTACACCTTATGTATTATTTAACTAAATATGTAAAAAATATTATTTAGTTTTTTATTTAAATAATAAATTAGTATTAGGTTGGTTTCTTGTGATTTACCTTGTGGGTGACTCTCTTTTAAGACCGTCTCACGCATCATTATCTGTGAGATGGGTCGGGTTCGAATGCATTTTTTTTACTTTCAAGTGTACATTTTTGTTCTTCAAGTGCACATTTTGTATAGAATTTTTTTAAAAGAGCCATTGATCATGTTTATCCACACTTTCGCACCTGATCATCCTATAAGTCAAGCAAGCTTAACTACAAAGTTTTTTTTGTTATCTGGTTGCCATATCCTTTTTAAAACCAATTGGTGATAAGTAGGTAGACATTAACCATTTAATCACATTCCTCCCTGGTAAGCCAAACGCCACGTATCAAATCGAGTAGGGGTTGAACTCGGGCGGCCCGACTCACACCCAACATTGTACACTTGTGCAGAAGTTTACAAGTTCTCACCTAACACATAGTTCTAATACAGTAATATGAAAGCAATCCGTACTATATATATATATATATATATATATATATATATATATATATATATATATATTCAAAATTCATATTGATTACAATCGATTTGAAATTCAAAATGCGAGTACAAAAATAACTATCAGAGAATGCTTGAATATTTGAATATTTAAATAAAGGACTTAAATTTGTTGCTTAATCTTCATTAGTATGGACTGTCTCAACCTAATTATGCACAAAAAGTCAACAACGTCTACATAGGAGAAGTTACTACATGTATGTCATCTAAGCACAAGGTACTTAGTTATTTAAATTCGTTATTTAAATTAAATTATATAAGTTAAATATATGAATATCCATCAATTGTTATGTCATGGACCCTGTCCACCTTGCAAGGTGGACCCGGGTCCAAAACAGTGTCGCTTTGCTTCAAAACGACGCTGTTTGAATTTTTATTTTTTGAAGAATTGGTTCCTTCCTTGCCGTTTGTCTTCAGAATTTGTTCCTTTATATTCATAATTTTTGAACTCTATATTCACAAATTTAGAACTGAATATTCACAGTTTTAGATCTCAATATACAAAATTACAGAACTCAATATTCACAATTGCAGAACTCTATATTCACAATTACAGAACTCTATATTCAACAATATAATACAATTTTTGAATCTATATTCACAAAAAAAAATATCATTAGTTGAGCAAATGGTGCCACTAACGGCACCGTTACTCTAGACGCGCGTCCATAGCATAATTTGCCAATCGTTATACAATGCACCAGGGCGCACATAGCAATGTGCGCCCTGTGCCTCCCAAAACGACGTCGTTTTGATGCATTGTTCAAAAAAAATTCTCTGTTTCGAATACACATAAACTCATAACAGAATACACAGAAACTCATAACTGAACACACATAATCTAACATGATACATAATATACGGAAACTCTTAACTGAATAATACACAAACTTTTAACTGAATACACAGAAACTCTTAACTAAATACACAGAAACTCTAAACTGAATACACAGAAACTCTTAACTAAATACACAAAAACTCTTTACTGAATATACAAAAATTCATAACACAATACACAAAATTTTTAACTGAATACACATAATGGAATTTTGGCCGTTTGGATAGACGGAGTGATGTCAGCAATTGAAACGATATAAATAATATCCACTTGTTGGGCCAAGCATGACTTTAAACCAATTGGACATTAGCCCATTAATCCATTATTTATTGGGCTTCAGCTAGCAATTCCAATCAACATAATTTGAGCCCATCAGTCTAATTTAATTGGACAATTTAGCCAATCTAATTGGGCAGTTCAATTAATCCCAATAAATCCATTTTTTTTACAACTTCTACATACAAATTAATTCATTCTTCGCCATTAAATTCCCACTTTCTACCGCTTCTTCTCAGCCTCAACCTCCTGAGCAACAGGAGCAGGTGGTTGTTTGGTGTGAGGATAAGAAAAATAAATGCCATCAACTTTAATTGGCACCAGTAAACAGTCTTGATATTTTATTATTTTTATTATATATTGAATGAATAAGTCTTATATAAGAGATATTTAATATTTTTAGTCAAAATATTAATACTTAATTATTTCATTATATTCTATTTTTATATCTTGTTCAGTTAAAAAGGTCTGAAGTTATTTATAATTTAATTTTTTTATAATATTAAAATTTTTTAAGAATAATATTAAGGTTAGTATTAATATATAAAATTTATACATTTAAAAATATTATTAAAAGTACTATTAAATATAAAAAAAATAAAAATAATAAGAAAATATTAAAGAAAATAAGTGAAGAAGAAAAAGTTGTTATCCTTTGCCAGCTGTAATCCGAAGAAGATCCAATGCACATCTTTGATAGTAGCGCTAGTTTTTCTCGTCATCCAAAAACCAATTATTTTACTCTGAAAAAATGGATTTACCCAGAATTTCTATCGTCGGACAGTGACTAATCCCTACAGATTTAAGGCTACTCCATTCCCAGGGATTGTTTATTGTCCCATGCATTGGTTGAAATCTAATTCAACTTTAGAGTTTTTTTTTTTTTTTGAAATACTTATGATTCTCTACAAGATAGTATATATACTTTCTCAAACATTTTCAGTTCAAAGGATCTAAACTCC